TTGAGAGATTTGGATCAAACAAATTCCCCAAACACTGGATTTTGGAGGTGTGACATTCTAAATTTCCACTTACTACACAACCTATAGAGTAGAAAGACTAGCTACTCCAAAGATGACCACTCAATTGATGAGGCCCAATGGAAACCTCTTAGTCCCTACATGCAAATATACAACTGTATACGAACTTATGCACCGGCACATCCTAATCTGGCAACATGGAACTGAACTACAAATACGTATACTAGTTAATAAGCATTGTGAGAATGTGTTTTGTGCTTTAGTAGGAAGAAGAAGAAGAAGACGAAGAAGATGGAGTTTCCTATGATGAGGCCCAATGGTAAATCATTAGCATGCTTTTCTTCTACAAAATCAATAGCATGCTTTGACTTTCCCCTATTAAAGATATCGATCAATCAACTCACTTCCCAGTACAATAGTCCCAACTAGAAACCAAAAATATACTTTATAAAACATGATACGAGTGTGCAAAGCTGGAGCAGGCTCCAAAAGTCAACTAAGGTTCTATTACTAAGGACCAAAGCAAAATAACATTAGAACTTAGATAACATAATAACCAAACAAAATCAAATTCCTAAAGGAAAAACGAAACTGCTAAAGGAAAAACGTAAACTACTGTCCAATAAGTATGATCTATTGACAATAAAAATTAACAGTCATAAGTAAAAGGCAGGAACTAACAAGGAGATGACACTTCACCTATAAAATCCACCAATTCCTTTACAAGCTGCAAATCAAGACACCAAACAGAATATGGGACCAAAATGGATGCAACAATATTGATTGCCAAGATGATGACCTGAAACCAGTGGCATCAAAATCCAATTGTATTGCCTTCAGATGATTTAGGGTATCCATTATACTCTATATGGACTGACAATGATGATGCAATAATCCTAAATTTCAATCTTAGGGAAGCCATAATTTCATCGATATGTTCATCCTCTGGTTCCAAAATTGGATACTTGTCTAACAATTCCTCCATTTGTTTCATATTTTTGCAAACCCTGGAAGAAAACACGTCAGGATTTATTCTGGTTGCAGCATTCCATACATTAACGCATCCCCAGTAAAACCCTAATTCTTCACCAGTTTCAAACCCTAACTTCAAGCCCACATCTTTCCCTTCTTGCTTTCCTAAGATTTTGCCATCTTCAAATCCCTCATTGTAACCCTCCTTTAAATGGTCATCTTCGAGACTAAGGGATGAATCAAAGATGTCGTCTGTTGCAGGGTCCCCCATAATAGCTACTCGAGAAATTCGACAATATGACCTGTACACAGTCAGAGTGTTCCACATTGAAAGCAAAACAATTGCCATCTTTATACAATCAGAAACCAGACTCAACGTAATAATATCCTATTGAACATACATATTAGTAGCATTCCCAAATGTTGAAACTTATCATAAATAAATTAAACAAATAGGAAGCTTATAAATGTTAACACAATAATACTTAACTTGATGTTACCTGTATTCATTCACTAAACAAAATTGATGTACAGAAATATATTGTTTTCATTTACAAGTATACTTCATGTGGTGCTTGTTTCAATGTTTTAAAAAACAGACCGCCTGGCACCTAGGCGCCCGCCTAGACAAAAAATCAGCACACCTAAACCCAAGCGGCCCTACACTGGCGGATGTAGCTGGGCGGGCGCCCACGCGCTGGCCGCCTACACGGGCCGATGTACCTGGGCCGGCGCCCAGCGCCTTAAGGCCTTTTTCATTTTTTTAAATCGCCCAAAAGGGCAAGGGGGGTCATTTTGACCTCCTAAGTTGTATAAAAACGTTAAGTGGTTTATTTTAACCGCCAAAGTGAAAACAAAAAAAAAAAATTAATATATGAAAACCCCCGAAGTTTAAAAAACTACAGAGCGCCCGAGTTCTGGGCGCCTGCCTAGGTGCCAGGGAAGCCACCTCGAGGCTGCCTAGCGTTTTTTGAAACCTTGACTTTCTATATCCAATATAATATCATCAACTAACACCTTTTCTTGTGTTTGACATTAATGTTTAGCTTTCACTGTATGAATTCTATAGTTCAGAAGCATCTGATATTATCCAGACCCTTTCTTCACCATGATATGCGCAGAAATCATGGTTTCTAATTCAAATGATGGTTATTTAGCATCAAATATACATCGCATGATTTTCACATAGCAACAAACAATTAACTAATCTCATATAAGTAAACACAAATCACAAAAGAAATGCAACTATGTGTAGCTTAGTGAACCAGAAAGGAAGAATAAAAGGAAGCCTAACTCATCCTCATAAATGCTCATCAGTCATGAACAAAAACAACAAAACTCATGAAACTCTTGTAAAGGAAGATGACTTGCTAAGAATGCAAAAATAACTCTAGGCCAAATGCAATCCACACAATCCACAAGGCCAAATTCTCATTAAACAACACCCAAATCATACAATTAGATGAAGAAACATCAAATTCTTGAAGGAACTGAACAACACAATATCTAATGAAGAAACACTCTCAAATCCACCAAAACAGACCTAAAAACCTCTTAAAAACCACCAATAGAGAGAGAGGGAGAGAGAGAGAGAGAGAGAGAGAGAGAGATGCCCCAATAGTAATGAAAGAAGTACCCGTTAAGTTGAGATAGGGAGAGCAGCGGTAACCAGCTGATGCACAGAAGAGGTAGAGAGTACGCTATAAGAGGCAAATCCTTGACGAGTGAAGCAAAGGATGGCCTTGTCTCACAGCGAGAGAGAGAGAGAGAGAGAGAGAGAGAGAGAGAGAGAGAGAGAGAGAGAGAGAGAGGAGGAGGAGTAGAGTAGTAGTACGTACGTACGTACTACTAACGTAACTAAGTAACTAATAACTAATAATAATAACTAATACTATACTATACTATACGTACGTAGTACGTAGTA